ATTGTTTTCAAGTTTTATAAGATGCAATTGGAAAACAAATATACAATTGGAAAGGGAAATATGCAATGTGATACAAGTTACCTCAGTGGGGGGAGCGATGTCTCCCCCCCCAAGCTTGGCTGTTGCTCAGGGTCCTTGATAAGGATTGAACCCCTGAAATCGAAAGTATGCCTGAAGGTCATCATGCTGTTGCTGCATCATGTTGTTGATGTTGGCGAACTAAGCATCAGCAGATTGTTGCCATTCTTGCGTTTGAGCTATGTGTTCCGTGAGGTTGTACTGGATTTCCCCCGTCTGCACATCAAGGGTATCCATTCTCTTTGTGATTTCACCCAAGTCCCAACGAGAGGAACTCGAACGCCATTCACTTGGAGATGGAGGCACACCACTTGATCTGGAGGGTTGGTTGTCCCCCCAGTGGATGTCATGAGGCGCATGCCACTGGTCCTCACTAGCGCTTACCCAGGTTGAGACTCCGATGCTAGGGCATCGAGCTTGGGTCCATCCGGGGGCATCCCCAGTTGGTGCCCAACCTGCCTCATACATCTGCACGGGTGTTGAGGATGATGAACTCTCTCGTTCGTTCCTTTTCATGTTGCGCGTCTCCCTGTATGTTCCACCTGCACGAGATTCTTCTATGGTCTGCAGGGGAATGGCTAGTTCATGGCAGTTGTACAAATGATACCCCGCATTTGGCAACGGGATTTCATTTGTACAACCGGGGAAAAAGTATATCAAAGATCCATCTGCTCCATGTTTCAAAATATGCCCTTGCACTAGATAAGCCTCATCAATACGTGGACGAGCGGCTGAGATAAAAGCAATTTGGTCGCTAACAACCCCTAGCCCTTTTGCTATCCGAGTAATCAGAGAACTGCACTCAACAGGAGCAGAGAACTTTATAATTTCTAACCATTGCCTTATCATACATTTCACAGGAGAAATTTTGATCTTTCTAACCATGACAAATATGATAATTAATTCATCTCCCCTAATGGGTCTCAGATCACTTCTAGGAAACAAAGTCATAGCAATCCATTTGTGCATGAGCCTAAGTTTAGGATTATGGATATCATTCGTTCTAGGTTTCTTGCAAACTGGAGCACCAGAAATGTCTTCCCAAAACCTATTTTTCTCGAACCTAGAAATTCCTTTCTGGAGATTGATTTTACAGGAATCGTGAAAACCAAGAAGTGTACTCAAGCCTTTCCATGTGAGTGTGAACTCCTTACGGAAAAAGTGAAAAGAAATACCATCTTCTATTTCTTTCAAAGTGCACATAAATTGCAAAGTAAGCAAACGAGAACCAGGCTCATCTACCACAGCGAATCTCTGCCAACCAATAGCTTTCCAAATAGAACGAAATTCAACATCCATACCTATCTTTTTCAGCAACTCCGGTGAGTATTCTCACGTGTGAGCATACTCCCGGTCGCTCAGCATGTAGTAGGCTTGTCTCTCCCGATCACTGACAAGGTCGAGGTCAGCGTTGTTTAGGAGTCGTCACGGAGCTACGGCGTCTTCCATCGAGACATCAGCTGATGAATGAGTACTAGACTCGTCATGACAACTTGATGGAGAACCGGACCCCTTGAACGGACGCGACAGTCGCCTCCTCATTCTGCACAATGGAGCAAGAACATGCTAACTCGGCGGGGGTTAGAAATGACAAGAGTTTTACCCACTGGTTAGTTTCACCAAAGCAACTTGTATATATGCAACTAAATTTTTGAATTTGAGGGAAACTATCAAAGCTTGAATGAACTTGAGAGCAAACTTTGGAGAGGGAATGAAAATGTGTTCAAATGGGGTGAAGTCCCTTCTCCCGGCCGGTTGGCTTAAGTAGTGCACCCACAACGGTCAAAACCGACCTGTGGGGCCCACTAGCCGTTGCCTCAAAGGAAGAGGCAGCCGACCGTTGGCCTGGCCGGTTCGGCCGAACCCCTGGTGGGCCCAACCGGCCCCACTTCTGGCCATTGGATTCCAACGGACAGTGCGGTCGTGGCACAGTAAATTTTCATTGAAAATTTTATTTTGGTTTGCTCCGAAAAATTCATTTGAAAAATTTCCTCAAAATTCAAAAATCCTAAATGCAATTTTGAAATTCAAACATGTGGTGATGCACAAATTCAAATTGTTGAAAGCAAATATGCGGACACATACCAATTTACCTGTTGGCGAAGGTCGCGTCATTTAAAGTCCGACGTGCAAGACCGTACCTCCTTGCGTTTCAGTTGATGGATTTTCCACCCGTCTCCGGAGGTGGTAGAGCAGGCGTCTTTGGCTTTTCCTTCCACACCTTCTTTGATTTCGGTGTGGAAGATGGCTTCTTCTGAGCCGGCTGCTCTAACTTCTTGGCCGGTACAGGTGATTTTACCGGCGTCCTCCAATAACGGTTCCTAGGCATTGTTGTTTCCTTCTCTAGGAAGTTCTACATAAATTTCACCAGGCTGTCCGTCTTGGGTGGCTCCACTTCGACCTCTTGAATATTCTGCGGGTTTGGCCCGTACTTGACTCTGACCGTGGAGCATTGTTCCGTCCTCGGTTGAAACTCAAACTTTTCCTCCTTCCCGTTGATATGGAAACAGATACTCCCCGTTCCCACGTCAATGTTGGCTCCTGCGGTGCTAAGGAACGGACGCCCCAGAATGAGCGGCGTCTACTTCTCCATGTCCATGTCCAGCACCACAAAGTCAACCGGGATGAAGAAATCCCGTATCTTGACTGGCACATCGTCCACTATCCCTGCCGGGTAACGGACTGATGAGTCAGCCAGTTGAAGGCTCATTGGTGTTGGTGCCAACACCGTGAAGTTGAGTTTGTCGAAAACGTCTTTTGGCATGACGCTGACGCTGGCTCCAAGGTCGCATAAGGCCTGGCGACAAAGGTGACGGTTTTCAGGAACGAGTGGTTGAGGATCTTGGTCCAGATGGCAATGGAATACCACCACAGTTTAACAACTTCCAAGATCGGATTGACTACGCCGTGCAACATGCTTTGATCAATCAATCAGGAGTCTTAGTCAATACCTTAACAAACATGGTGAAGTCATTGGTTAATGGTATAATAGCTAAACATCAAGCCACAGGGCCCGTCTATTTACCAGGTGGTGTTTTCCCAAACTATAGGCCTTTGGTCACAGGCAATCAACAGGGTTCTTCCAATGTACCACCAGTTCAGCCAGCAGCATCAGTTTCAGCTCCTGCACCAACTGCACCATCATCAGCACAAAGGCAAATGACCAATCCTCGATTGTTGACTAGAGAACAGCCACAGCATGGTGGGCAAAATGTCAATCGGCTGACTCAGGAGCAGGTGGCTGCTATGTTCCTGCCAAATCCACCTACTGCCGATCCAGTACAGTCATTGCCGAATCAGTAAACACCACTGAGGCAACATACGGTTCAGCCGATTCAACAGCAAAACTTGCAACATGCATCGGCTAGGTTAAGAACACCTGATAATCAGCTAAGGCAGCATGTTGCTTGGGTATGTCTGTAACTATATACTCTACTGTTTGCATATGTACGTACCTTATATTGTATTTGTTGGTACGTACATCCATGGTATGTATATATAAATAAATAAAGATGCATGAGCCATGTGCTCGTGCACTTGTATTATATATAATCAATTGCCTGTTTAGTACGTATAAATCTTTGTATAGTTAAGCATACAAAAACACTAGCTAGTACCTATACTGCATATGCGATCTAGTAGATCAGTACGACACAAGTATATGGCCCTTGATTATGACTAGCCGATCCTTGCTGCCTACCCTAGCTACCTCAGTGCGATCGAGTTCACACCGAATACTGTTTCCAGATTATCATTAATATATTTTCTAATGGTGGGGATTAGTGTGGGGAAGGGATCGAGAAGGATACTTCTACACTACACAGTGGTCTGCTAATTAACCTACTGACATACTAGGCACAGACCTAACCTCCCCTGCACAAAGAGAGAATTAAGATAGCAGGGAAACTTTTTTTTGGAGGCTGTTCGTTCTGATTCAAGCCATCAATAGCTGCTCACATATGTTTGCTTTTTGGGGCATTTTTGTGTCCTGAATGAACATAGCTGCTTGAAGGGATTCCTAGGACACATTTGTTCTAAAAATTATCTATAAGCGCTCACGCGCTATTTTGCTTTTGGTCCGAATGATTCTCTCTATAGAATTTAAGAAAATTTAGTTGTTAGGCTTGCAGTTCTCTGAATTTTTCTGGTGTTGGTTCAACACCAGGTTGAATATATCATGCCTCTGCTCAACTTCTGGTATTTTTTATTATGGCTACTTCTATCACCTAGCAGTTTTCTGAAATGCCCAACTACCGTTCTCGTATAACAGTGCAAATGTCATGCAAACGGAAAAAGAAAGTCGGCTCGTTGTGCCAAAATTTGTCGACATTTGGCTTTTGCTTTATTCCTCTTTGCGGAAGATCGATGGTGTGCGTGCCATTGGAGTACAGATGAAATTTGTAGAAATTGGAATGGTCATGTACTATGTGAACAGGCACAAATTTTGAAATATATAGCAAATGTGCCACTGGAACAGATGAAATTGGTAGAAATTGGAATCGGTGATGTACTCATATGAACAGGTACAAAGGGAGTATTTTTCTAAACCCGAGAGCAATTACTCCGCATGTGACCACCGGTGTTGTTGTTGGTCACATCTCTATTTAGAGGTAGTGAGCGCGTCTAATAGCAAATAAGTTTGGTTCTAGCGGTAAAATGGTCACAACTCTCCTCAAACGCCTTGTCCTTATATCAGGCTTATGGGATCAAAAGATGAATGGAGGGTCCAAACACACCTAGAGAACCTCAAAAAGAAAATCTTGAAATTAAAAACAAAGAGAGAGAGAGAGGGTACAAGAATGAATGGAGAGTATTCATAACAAAACTGAACCCAACACTTGTGAAGCTCTCCTGATTACTAGCCAGCGATGCATGCAGGGAAAAGAAATTTTCCTACATATAGAGAGAGAAAGAGAGTATATATATCAAATTCTGACCATGTGCATATGTTAGTTACCCTCAATTCCCATCCTAGCAAGCATGGCCGGCTCCTCCTCTCTTGCATCGCCTCACTCACTGCTGCTACCACTCCTCCTTCTTTTCCTCCTCGTTGCCGCTGCCATAGGCAGCTACGACCCCAAGGCGTTCTGCTCCAAGACGACAGACATAGCATCGTGCCTTAGGGTGTTCCCGACACTCCCAGACATCGTCACCAAGGCGCAGGACAACAAAGAGTTGTACAAACGGCTGGTCCGCTACTGCTCTTTCAAGACCTACGAGGCCACGTCGCTCGCGGAATCCATGATTGCCACCACCACCGCTGCCGACCCCAAGATCAGCGCCCCCTTCTTCCCGCAGTGGAAAAGGGACGAGGCGATGACGACAAAAACACCTCCAGGCAAGTGCCTCCTGAGCTGCAACAAGACCATCGGCGAAGTTGACGCCATCCTAACCTGCGGACACACCTACATGGAAGACAGGCCCCCCATCATCCACCAGAACCTCACCGTCTTGTTCCATGGCGGCCACCCGCCGTCACTCTGCAAGAGTGGATGCCTTGACGGCTCGTCGTCAGAGGGTGAGGCCCTCCTCGCCACCAAGTTCAACTATATATGGAGCTTGTTGGATCTCATGAAAGCTGTCCTACCGGAATATCTTTCTGAGACTGGGACTGCGACGACGACGGTACCATCTCCCTACGTCGCTGCTGCGGCGGCCCCGGCGCCATGAGCAACTACAAGCATGCAGTCCCTTCGATTCGATCGACCAGACCACAACAGTGCAGTGCTCTTGGAATCCCTATATACACGCATATACTATGTATCTAAGAAATAATCAAGATTTCACAGAGAGCATTTAAGAATCATGTTTCACTAATTGTTGCAGTATATAGTAGCCCATTTAATTTCATCCATCAGTTAGTGTTCTAATTCTTACAGTGGAATTGGATGTTCACCCCTCAAGTACATACACATACTTGCTTCCCTATCACTCAAATAGTTACAAAATGTTCTGAAAAATAATTAAAGCATTTATACAGCAAGCATATATCATAACCAAACTTATGTTTTTTTTTTGGCATGTAAAGATTGAATTTAGTTTTTTAGGCATAATTGTATTCTTGCCTTTAATTACTTGCTGCAATTGTGATTTTTCCTTTGCTTTTTACGGTTTGTGGTTTTGCCCTCACTTGCTGCAATTGTGATATACCAAGATATCTAAAAGAACAATATCTATCTGGCAACCAAACAACTACAAATATTGTTCCTCAGTCTTTAGTTTAGGCAAAGCAAAAAGTTCACTTTTATGGAAATTAATATTGAGGATAGGTAGTTGTTCTAAAACATATAGAAAATATTTTCAGCTTGCTCTAAATTATGATCCATATAAAAATCAGTGTGTCATCCGCATACTGCACCTGTTTTATATAATCGTTAAGATGAGGTACTACTCCTGTTTTATATGATCGTTATGGGCTCAGAATAGGTGAATTAAAGGAAAATTGATTTACAAAATAGAAAAATAATGGTTCTACCACCTACATAAATCACATGCCTCCGACCACATGTTCTCAAAATCATTAGGTACCCCAAATATAATGAGAGGAAGAGCAACCAGTGGCCCACAACGGTGACGGTCTAACTTCTATGGTGAGCGGGCATGGAGCTGAGTTGGTGGTGCTATTGCACTGTGTGGTGGGGTGCATATAGCAAGATGGCAACGTGCATGCAGGTCGGGCCAGTATGGCTAGATGGGCAGGGTTAGTGAGGAGGAGCTTACGTCTCGGTAGCCAGAAGTAGGGGAGGGCTCCGCACATGTGCCACAGTTCGTGGGAGATGACGACATATATGGACCACTATTGTACGATCGAAACAAGACCAAACAAACCTACCAGAGGGGGTGAATGGTAGGGAAAACAAAAAAGGCAAAAACTTTTAGTGGAAATAAAAAGTTACCTTCAAATTGATGGAGATCTCGACATAGCCGATCTGACCGTTAGATTTATTCCGGTCTGACCACCCCCTCATCGCCAGTTGGACCGCCATCTGGGTTAGACCGCCGACTTGCCTCCGATTTAACCGTCAGATCCAGAAAAACATGTATCAACAAAACTCTTGAAAGTAGATCAATTTCATTGCATCAATATGTGTTTCAAAAGTGCATCTAAAGCACTCCTCTCTCAACTCACGAACTAGGATTGAAACCTCGAAGTAAACCCCAACTTTTCTCTCCCAAAAAGTCAATATCTTCTAGTCTCAACCCCTCATCTATTTATACCACAAAGCCCGCCGACTCAAAGTAGGTGTAGAGCTCCTATTTCCAATAGGACTCCATCCCTCAATTTCCATACGTTTTACAAGGGTTAATTCAATCCATGCCATTTTAAATAAATGTCATTACAATTCATCTATTCGTAACCATGCCACTAAAATTTTACAAAATTAGAACCATGCCACTAACGTCACATTTCCCATCCATCTCCTCATCTGCACGTGGGACCCACATGTCATTTCCATCTTCCTTCATCCTCCCATCTTTTTCCTTCCCATCTCTCTACACCTTGTTTCAAATGAGGCAACCAGTAGGGAGTGTGCGTTTCTATGTCACCGTCAGCAGCGTGACCATCTCCGGCATCTGTGGCTCCTAAAATTTCAGAACTCGGTTTCTTTTTCCTTTTCTATTTGCACCTGTTTTTTTTTTCACTCTATTTGCAGGCAGCAAGCAGCTGGCGAGCTCGGCAACCTTTGCTCGTCCCTGTCAGCCCAAACACTCACTCGCACACACACCTCTCTCTTTCTCACTTGATGAAATACACGCACAGAGATGATGAACTGACGGAGGAACAAGATGAACAGTACGCAAGGAATTTCCACGCTGCACACCAGCGCGCACAGCACAAACACTTGTTTTTCACTTCACTTTTGACACACTTTAACAAATGCTGATTACATTGGTTAAATAGAGCACACACACGCACAGGTTAAGCCACGTCTTGCCGCACAAACCGGCAAGCACCTCCCGTGGATTATCCTCTAATCACCTTCCTACATGCAAGGCACAACTCGCTGCATGCAGAGCACCACTAAATCACTAACACATGCATGAGCCATCTGATCCAGCCTTCTCGCCAAGAATCCATGCTTCACTTGCATGCAGATCATGGCCTCCCTGATCAAACTAAATCACACATACTATTGACCTGCTCACTGCTCAGTACACACATGGAAAGACTAACGTGGACACAAACCACTAATTAGCTAAACACGACTTGATAGGATGAAAAAACACAAACGACAAGATTAAGTCTAACAGTCCCTGCGATTAGAGCCAGCACCACGCGAGGCGGCCTGCGGCAGTGCGGCCAGGATAGCGTCACTGATCATGAGCAGACAAGCAACGACGAGCCGACGAGGATCCATGATAATGGCGGCGTCATACATGAGTGTTGGTACCGGAGCACCTGTTAGAAATATGCTCACTGCTGCTGCCACTCCGCCTCCGCCTCCGCCTCCTCCTCCTCCTCCTAGCCGCTGCAGTCAGTGGCGCCACCGGCAGCTACGATCCCAAGGCATTCTGCTCCAAGACGACAGACGTAGCGTCGTGCCTCAGGGTGTACCCAACACTCCCGGACGACGTCGCCAAGTCGCAGGATAACGAGCAGCTCTACACACGGCTGTACGACTACTGTGGAGTCAAGATCTACGAGGCCTCATCGCTCGCAGAATCCATGATTGCAACCACCACCGCCGCCGACCCCGTGATCATCGCCACCTTCTTCCCGCAGTGGAAAGGGGACGAGGCGATAACGACAAAAACACATCCCGGCAAGTGCCTCTTGAGCTGCAACAAGACCATCGGCGACGTTGACGCCATCCAGACCTGCGGAAACACCTACATGGAAGACAGGCCCCCTATGATCCACCAGAATCTCACCGTCTTGTTCCACGGCGGCCACCCGCTGCCGCTCTGCAAGAGTGGATGCTCGGAGAGGTCGTCTTCGGAGGGCGAGGCCATCCTCGCCACAAAGTTCAAGTATATATGGACCTTGTTGGATCTCCTGGAAGCTGTCCTCCCGGAATATCTTTCTGAGACTGCCACCGGTGCTAAACATAAGACGACGACACCATCTCCCGCTGCAGCGTCCACGGCGCCATGAGCAGCTAGATATCTACGTGCAGCATCTAATTCATTCGCTTTGATCGACCACACCACACAGTGCAGTGCACATGGAATCCATATATACACTAGCTACACGCATATATATGCTATGCTATGTATCTAATTAAGAAATAATTAAGACTTCACACAGAGCATTTAAAATTCAAGTTTCACTAATTTTTGCAGTATATATATAGTAGCCCATTTAATTTGATCCATCGGTTAGAGTCTCACTGTATTACTGTCTGTTTTGCATGTGTCTTTTATTCTGTCCAAAATAGTGTTCTAATCCTTACAAATGGAATTGGATTTTTCACCACACAAGTGCATATACACGTGCTTGCTTCCTTATCACTCAAATAGTTACAAAATGTTCTGAAAAATAATTGCAGCATTTATACAGCAAGCATCTATCATAACCAAATTTATGTTTTTTTTTAGCATGTGTTTGAATTTAGTTTTTAGGCATAATTGTATTCTTGCCTTTACTTGCTGCAATTATGATTTTGCCTTTGCTTTTTACGGTTTGTGATTTTGCCCTCACTTGCTGCAATTGTTGTATACCAAGATATCTAAAAGGACAATACCTATCTGGCAACCAAACAACTACAAATATTGTTCCTCGGAGTCTTTAGTCTAGGCAAAGCAAAAAGTTCACTATCATGGAAATTAATATTGAGGATAGGTAGTTGTTCTAAAACATATAGCAAATATTTTCATAAAAATCAATGTGTCATCCGCATACTGCAAGATAAATAGACCATCATCAATAAGATGTGGTACTACTCCTGTTTGATATTATCGTTATGGGCTCGGAGTTGGTAAATTGAAGGAAAATTGATTTAGAAAATAGAAAAAATGGTTCTACCACCTAAAATACATCACATGCCTCCAACCACCTGTTCACTAAATCATTCTCTACCCCGGCCCAAACATAACGAGAGGAAGAGCAGGCTGTGGCCCACGACAGTGATGGTCTAACTTCTACGGTGAGCAGGCATGGAGCTGAGAGCTGGTGATGCTAGTGCACTGTGTGGTGGGGTTGTTAACGACCAAATTTGGTAAGTCATGAACCCGGTTCGGCATTGGAATCGAAGTGGATTCAGCAGAGGATTGTGTTCGAAGAACAGAGTGCGCATCGGCTGCGGAGGCATCGGCTGAAGTCTGCATCGGCTGAGTTGCATCGGACAGAGGACAGCCGATTCCATTAAGATGGTTGTAAAGCCGTTTCTGGAATCGATCAATGTGCTACACAAGGATTATCACGATGGAGATATGTTCTCAGATAGGCAATTGTATCTATTATTTAGGATATTTTGAATAGTTTCCTTAGAGATATGTTTGGGTAAAAGTCTGTCGTAAAGACTTATGTATGTCTTAGAGTTTGTTAGAGATAATAGTCGTGTCCGGCAAGGACCTATTATATGTATCTCGGGTATAAATATAACCCGACCCCATGTAATTTACAACAACAATTCAATAATACTTTCGGCGCATCGCCACCCTTTTTACTTTCATTTATTTCGACGAGTTCTTGCTTTCGGGTTGAGCTGTATCGATTTCGATCTTCAACAGGAGGTAAACTTGTCATGGCGGTTAGCGTTCTCGGGATTAGTGCTTCCATCTTTATGACACTCTAATCTTGTTTATGTAATTCGTCGAGTTATCATATATGCTCCATAATCTTTGTTAGTTGCGCCATCTAACCCGCAATCGGTTGGTTTTTATTGTTAGAGAGTAGTCGATAGAGTTAGATCTTGTTATTAATCTAAATTATATAGCATATCCACCATCTCTTAGAGGTTTTCATCAACTGGTCTAGATCTTTATTAATCTAAATCTGTATGCTTAATGCTGCATCGGTTGAGTTCGATCTATTAAGTATTGTCTATAATTATAATATCTAGCTTGTTTTATGACGATCGATAGAGATAGTATCGGGGTTTTAGCCGATCTTACCTGATTTAGCTATTTTATACCTTATATGCTTGATTA